TAGATGCGCCATATGTCTTTTGCTATTGTACATGGAGTGTCCATACTCATTATATGGGGCAGAGGATATTTGGATACACAAATTAGATAAGCGTCTACTATTCAGACCCACCAGCTTCAGATTAATTTTTGAAATGCATTTTATTTCTATGTTTTAGCTCTTTATTCATTATTTTTTTTTCTCATAGAAATGAAAAATGTATTTTAAAAACCATTAGGTGAATAAACACATATGTACATGCACATCTATGCAAACAATAACCAACAGCAATAAAATTCACCTTGAAACACTATTAAAAATTGAAGGATAGCATAATTGGTATATCTAGGCTTCCCGCATCGGAACACCTGCATAACTTAGTCTCTAAGCACATTTGGTCAGTGAAATATAACAAAGGCTCAGATAATTTCCTCACTAAATAATTTTTACTGCTTACACTCCTGTGATGAAAATCAATTGGGAAACTGTTACGAATTGTTCTCCTTTGTAGTGACATTTTGACACAGCTGTCTTGTGGAACATTTCCCACTAATTTCTGCAGTTTCTTAATATGCCAGGTAATTTACAATCACACAGAGCCATGGACAAAAATGTCCATGTTTTTCTAATTACTTACAAATGAAATAAAATTGGACTTAATTGTCTGAGTATGGGTGTCCTTCAATTTGATTTTTTTCAGAGGCAGAATAAAAATTCACTTCTGATGCTCTTTGTAAAGTCTTTGTTGCCAAAATCAGATTTCATGTTAACTGGTTGGGTTATAGTTAAGATGCCAAAGTACATCAAGTCTTGCACAACTGTGGGGGGGGGGGGGGGGGGAGATGCAAATGGGGTATTAGTGCTGTATTGCTGTTTTTAGACAACGTCTTTGGATTTGTAACTTCTTCACAAGGACACAAGGAACCTGTAGCTGCTCCTATAAATAAATAAAAGGAGTTTATTGTTTGAGGGTCTCTTGCTTTGCATTAGATATTCACAACTTCCATAGTAGGTCAGTCTGATGGAGATGACCTAGGCAAAGGTAATCAGGTGGGATATAGGGCTCCATGGAGACTGAACTCTGGCTCCCAAATCTAAGCCCAGCATTCCTAAACATTAAATTAGATTAGGTATTGATGCACACTAAGGACTTTATCATATGAATGAGGTCCCACAGGGTGATTCGCCACCACCCATGGTGAACCAGCAAGGCAGGGGTGCAATCCCAGCTCCTGAACCTGGCCTCACCCACAGCTGATGCTTCCCCATCCTATATCGGGAAGCATTGCCACCATGGCTTGGCCCTATAGTTTTCCCTCAGAACAAGCCTCCCATGTTCAAGGGGGAATCTCCTGCACCACTTTTGGGACACTTCCTCCATGGGGCCGTATCAGAAGTCTCCATACATCATGTGATGGCATCCAGCAAGGAGGAAATTTCCCAAAAGCATTCTAGGAAGCTTAATTTGTCTAATGTGATAAAGCTGTAAGACATTGCACAAATGAGACTTGTCTGGTTTCTCCTTTTAAAAGAATCCAAAATAATTGCTGTTGAAGGGAGATCTTGTACATCTACTGTGTAAGGACTGTGCCATTTTTACTGCTAGTTTATATTTTGCAAAGAGGAGCTGTAGAGAAAATAAAAACATATCAAGCTTTTTTCTCTCCCTCTCAGTTATACACAGGCAGAAAGTGAGACGGAAAAGGCCAGATGGATTCCCATATAAATTATATGACACCAATACATAAAACATGCAATTTTCCCCATTGCAAGCGCAGTGTTGAGGAGAGAGGCTGGTTTGCTGTCATCCGGGGTTATGAGACCAGTTAAAAAGACATCCTAGTATGTGTATCACATTTTAAGAAAGATAAGGATAGAGGTCATCGCCTCACTGTCCTCCATTTTGGTTCACTTGTTCATTGGCCCACTCTCCTGATTGTGCTACTGTATATGGGTCACTTTAGAGCAGGATAGAATTTTTTTTAACCGGGGGAGGGGGGTGTTTCCCTACCCTGCAATAATTGGCTTGGGGGGAATTTGTTTTTATATATAATGAAAAAAATATTTTAATTGTGTTGTTATATAAAGTGGACTCAGATAGTTACTCGAATCAGAATGGTCTTCTGATTTAGGACACAGCCACTTTCCGAAGTGTCTCATAAAAGGCCTTTAATAATGCGTTTACAATACTCAGATAGTAAGGAACACCTTTACAGCAAGTCTGTTGCTCAGCAGTAACTAACTGCATATTCTTCTGTGTTATTCTGGACCTCCCCTTTGAATGTATTCCATCTCTTCAACTGACAATGGTGTCACCATGGGCAGCAAGATGGCGGCCGCCAGTAGGGTCAAGCCACATACACCATTAATTAAGTTTCCAGACAGAAAAGGTACTCCCAGACCTAAAATGCAAGATCCTCTACAATCAAGAGTGCCACCACTTCATGCACCATCTGCACAAATCTCTGCAGGAGGTGGACCGCCTTCCCATCAACATATTTCATTTAGTGGCAGAACACAAGGCACACCTGACACAGTAGAATTAGTAAGAACATTACCTCAAAAATATTGATGGTTTGGGGGGAATCTTAAACAGGTTACCTGGCAGGTTTCAAGAGAGAATGGAACATTATAGTTAACACCTAAGGCATCGTTTTGGTGAAGGATACAACTGTCCCTGTGTGCCATTGATCAAAATGATAGACTGCCATCCAGCTTGAAAATCTGGGTTTTGCTTTCCTAAAGATGGGAGCCCTGAGAGCAACCTGATTGGTAGTTGGGTTGCTTTCAGGTGCCTCAGGTTTTTTAATCAGTTAAGCCAAGGCAGGGGTTTCAGCTCATCTGTCATCACATTGCTTTCCCCTGTTGGTTTTCACCTACAGCTCACAAGGAAACATTTAACTGGGTAACATTTAATAAAAGTTGCCCATATTGTTGTCCACCCTCATTATTTCATTAGTTGGTCAACACTATACCTATCATCTCTCGCAGGAAAAATTCCAATAATGTGATAAATGGGTATACATTTCATATCACTAATAATTGTGTGGGGAAATAATTTGTAGATTTTGGTGGCAACTGTTCATTAGTCATCTTGTCTAGTATGTCCTGGTAGACCATTCCTTTGTTTAAAAATTGTTAGAGGAAACCATTTGAATTGCTGTCAAGATGAAGTCTGGTTTCAAGAGGAACACTCATGAGAAGGGAAAGACCAGAGGCACTGAAGTTGCCCATCAACACATAGCTGTTAAAATGAGATTACATAACACTATCATTATGTGCTATGAAACACTCTTTTGTTTTGAATGATTAGGTGAATTCATTTTTAAAACATTGAAAGCACCTCCTTGTTAAGTGTACATTTGTTTGCCTGTCTTCTGGATTTCAATGCCGGGGTAAACAATTATTTCTATAAATCTTTCCTATTTAGAGTAATGGTATGAAATTTAATTTTACTGGTGCTTTAGTGTGTGTGTCATATCTATTTTTTCAAGCAATCCAAAACAATTAATGAAAATCCAAAAGAAAAATGGCATCTCCAGTGACTATTTATGTAAAAATAATAATGAAAAATCACTAAAGACTTTGTGAGAAAGGTTTTCAATGCAGGAAAAGTCTAGATTTGCTCACAGTGCTCTCCTGTTTCTTAAAGACTTCTTATTCACCTTAAAGAAATATACATTCCTTTCTGCAGGTAGATTTGCTCCACTGTTTGAATATACTGAACATGGAATAGATGTGTAAATGGATCTCCCAAACAGATCAATATTCACTAAGGCTGTCCACCACACTTTTGAATGTTATTATTTCCTTTACGTTATTACTCAAAATTATTTTGTCATATATTGACTATTATCAATATGGTCTAGCAATTATTTCTTTTTAGCCAATGAATTAAGAAAGCACTTAACATTAAAATATACCTCATTGGAAATTAATGTGTACAATGCTCTAGGTGTTTGATTTATTGTTCAGTCATCTTCCACATATTACCTTGGATTAGTTATCTCCCTTTCTATCTCTTTCTTTCATGTGATAATGATGTTTTCAAAGGATATTACTTTCAAAAATAAAATAATAAAAAATACAATTCAGCTCCCAAGAAAGTAATGTTCTATGCAGGGAAGAATGGCACACTTTCGGCTTTCACCAAACTCTATCCAATTGGAACAGTTTCTTTTTGGTTTGATTGTGTTCTTTTCTTTCAGTACTGTAAATTTTTTCAATGTTTGATGTTGTTTGTATGCCAGGAATACAGGGAACACAGTGGAGTCTAGGGATAAGAACTCCATATAGTTAGAAAGAAAACAACCATCACCTTGTATTTTAAAGCGGGGAAAGGGAATGACTGAATTCCAGGGAGGCCCATAAAGCTTAATAAGTGATACTCAGGAAGGTTTAAGAAGAAGACTTCTGCTCCTTCTGTTTTGTCCCCTTGATATTATTTAAATCACTTTCTGAAGAACAGAGTAATTATCACTTAGGCTGAATACTCTTGGTGTTCATAATAAATTTCTCATAGGTCCACTGAAACTGTTTGAAGAAAATCTTGTGGGAATTTCATTTCTTGGGGGAAAGTTTCAAAGAACAAGGAATTTGAGGAGTGACAGAGTGGGACCATGGATTATTAGTGAACTTTTTTTTTCAAAATTTCATTTCCTTGTAAACTGTGGGGCTGCTTATGTTAAGGTGATATGGTATACTCACACCACAGGTTTCCCTGCCCACAAATAAATAGGAGATGCACAAACAAACAATCTGAAGGCATCTGATCATCAGAGAATGCTATTAGGCATGATGGGAATCTAGAAGAGAATCCAACACAGCAATATTGTTTCAGATTGCGGTTTCCTACCTCTTGGAACACAAAGCCAATTATTCCTGACTAAAGGCCAAATTCGAGGCACCACCTGTGCTCATTAGAACATTGTTTAATTTTCATTTACACATCTCAACACATTCCAATATTTCCAGATGTTGCTGTTTAATGTTGCCATAATTCTCAATTTTACTGTCCACAGAGAGCGAAGAGGTTTACCAGCGGCAGGTGCTGTCTATATCCTGTATCGTCTTTGGCATAGTCATAGTGGGCATGATCTGTGCAGCATTCTACTTCAAAACAAAGTAAGAGCCTTTGTCTAGTCCATGTCTTGTCCCCTTCTGCCCCTTTTCAGTTCATTGATGTTTCTTCTCCACTGCTTATTCAATCCATGGCATCATCATGAAGCAAGTGGAAATAATAAGGGAATTTCCATACATATTCTTTCCTTCTGAATGTTGCAGGACAAGTAAGTATACAACAAATATCTATTGCATCTTCACTCATAAGATTCCTATCCGTGTTTTGCTGGTAGTACTTATTGTTTTTGTTGTAATTATTACGACATCCCTTAATTTTCACTGAGTTGTTTTTGGATATTCTGATGTTTTAGCAGAACTAAATTATGGCGATGTTGTGTATTTTTAACCTCTAGTCTGATCTGTCATTACTTATGCTGTTTTTTTTTTTGGCTTGCTGTACCTGTTTTTCTATCAGTCAATTTGGTGGAAGATAGTACTGCATTAGCACCTCCCTCCCCAAATTCCACTTTTCAACCAATTTTACTTTCTGGCAGTGGTCCAGTCTCTAACCTGTCAAAAGAATGGGGGCTTCTTGTATTAAACCCTGGTTTTCCTTCAAAACAGGGACTTAAGAAAGCATATAAATTTGTATACAATAGAGTTGAAACATATAAAACATATATATTATAATCAAATTACTAACAATATGCATTTTTAAAATTAAAATAATACAAGACAGAGTGCTCCTGAAAACTCTTTCCTTAAAAGCTTTCAGTTCTCCATGTTAAAAAAAAAACAAATCTTTGCAAACAAAAAGATTGCATTTTACTTGCCCTAAGAACAAAATACTGCAGCATTGGGGTAGTCTCACATTCAACATCAGTGGCATCGCTGAAGTTGGCGGGACTGAGGGAAGAGCATTTATGAGCAGCTCAGGTCATTGATAGTCTCCTATGTAAATGGGCAGTCTATCCAAAGCCTGTTCCTAAAATATGTAAGGCTTTATAGATAATAACTAGCACTTTACATTGAAATAACTGGGCAACAAGTAAGGTGTTGTGACAAGTAGGTCTTACATGAACTGTGACCAGCATTTTCTGCTCTTAACTATGAATATACCTCTCTAAAACATGAAATGTGAATTTATTATTATAATATTTTCATCTCTCAGGATCCTGGTTTTGGGTTGAAGAGTGTTGAATATCCTGGAAACAATGTTGTGACAATGTTGTTTTTAAATTGTGTTAGATTTTAGCCTGTTCTTGTAAGCCACTCCGAGCCCCAGGGGAGTGGCGGCATATAAGTTTGAATAATAAATAAATAAATAAATAAATAAATAAATATACAACACACACACACACACACACACAGCAAACTATGACTTTCTACCTCATCAGACAGACTCCTTTCCCCATCAAATGCTGCTTGATCTCCCCTTTCCTGATGGAACCCATTACATGATGCACACATAGTTCTGGCTAGCTCCATTTGGAAAGGGAAAAGCAAGCAGCATATGCCGTATGGCAACAAAGGAGGCTTCCTGTGTTGTCTTCAGAACAAAGAGGGGAAGCTGGGTGGTTATTCTCTCCCCCCCCCCCATGTGATGGGTTCCCAGATAAGTTGTATGAGAGAGGCATGGAGTAACAGGTTCTCCACGAATCCCGTGGTGACCCAATGGATTCACCATGATACATGGTGAATCCATAGACCTTAATGATAAGGTCCTTTGTAGGTGCTTTCTGGCCCCATCTACCATAATGTATGACCAGTGGCTTGGCTGGAAGCTGGATTCCATCAATATATGGAATGTTATTAAGTTATATTGCTTCACCAACACTTGCCACATACTCCCCACTGTCTCCAATGAATAAGTTGACCTCTGCTTGTACTCAAATTCCATTGATTAAACAATTCTTAACTTTGAGCCTGTCTATACTGGCCAGAAACCCCAAATTGGCCCAGAAGCTCTCCACACAATGTCTAAAGACTTCTGGTCTGTAATATTAGGAATGTTTTGGAGTCTCATTCAAAATTTGGAGCAGTTCCATATTTTGTAGTTAATGTGGGCAACTGGACTGTCTTCATGGGCTAATGCCACTCTCCCCTTTTTTGTCTTGTGGCTGTGGAGCTCCAGAAAGCTCCTTACCATTGCCAATGGATTTGCTGTCCTCACCAAAAGCCCCTTCCTTGATGTCAGCAAAGGTCCCTGGTGATGGCTAGGAGTTCTCTGGAGCTTCCACAGCAAAAAAAAAAAAAAAAATACAGCACAGGTTAAGAGTGATCATCCAATTAGTATGGACAATTTAGGCTCTATTTCCACCACTGCAATGGATCAAGAGGGGACTGGCACTGAATCAGCCCCAGATTCTGTTAACTGTGTATTTTAGACTCTTGACTAGTTTATGTTCAATCCACATTTCTCTCTCACTCTCTCTCTCTCTCTCTCTCACACACACACACACACACACACGGGGGGGGGGGAATAGGAACATGTCTATACTTCCCTTAGATTTGCACTGATTGTAATACATTTCTGTCTAGATAACTCATTGGTCACATTTTTGTTCTTTTTGAAATAACCATTATGTCTTTGTTGTATGTGACAATGTGTTAGACAATTGTTCTGGAGAAGGAAATATGTGTTCTTGGATGTCATCCATAAGCATTGTATAACTCGAGGATGTCCAAATGATTCCCAGTCCTGTAATTTTGAGTGTGTGTTTTTTGAACACTCAAAACCTTCAATATATTCTTTTAGATTGGCTGCATATTTTATACAACTTGTTTTACTGACTAAAATCAAAGTTTGCATGTTGCATTCCTGCAGTTCATCAGCCACAATTTGTGCTCACTGCTTTAATTGTTCTTAAACTAGGACAGCAACAATGAATTTACATATCTCAATGGGTAGCTAGCCACCTATGAATGAATGAAGCTAAGCCACAACAAGTACAAGTACAGTGCAAAGTTAAACAATTGCATTGTTTTATGGCTTCCTGGCTTAATAGTATCTATTGAGATCATGGGATAAATTCATAAAATGTGAATGGGCACACTTATATATTCTAGAACACTAACACTTGGTGATGATAAAATGAAGTGAAGTATACACTCTTACACCCACTTTCTCGGAAATCATACTATTGAATTCAGTGGGGCTTATTTATAAGTAGACATCTTCTCATTTGTTCCTGAATTTTCAGTACTTTTCTAGTTCATGTTATATTTCTAACATGTCCTGTTTGACTTAGAATATACTCAAAAGATGAGAGTGTAAATACATAAACCAATCTGCTGGTCAGGTGCATTGGAAAATGTTATCCCACCATTAATTTTGGAGAATGATTCAACTGACTTTCTGAACTTTGAAGGGAGAGGAGCAACCATCTTGTTCTTCATCTCACACCACTCTACCAATACCAGCTCCAACCGTACCAAAATCAATGGAGTATTTTGTCCGAGATGCTATAAAAATTATGGCTATACTATGTGTTATTCAGGTTGAAATCATACTTTTGCTAGGAATTCCATGCATAAATATTTACAAAATTGCCTACAAGTGATACTTAATTCTTAGTCACTCTGTAAAATTTAGTCATATAAACAAAATTCCTTGAGAGATTCTTAAACTCTTTTTTATATAAAAAAAACTGGGTTGTATCATACTGTCGGGTACCTATACAAGATAAAGTAGATGGGCAGACATCCTTCTAAACTATTCATTTAGAAACAATTGCAGCATAATCAGGATTAAATACTGATTTTTCAACTCATGTGCATTTTATGACAATTTAGTATGGGAAAATATTCCTTAGAAAACCAATGTAGTTGTGAAAACCCAAAATTCTACTGATTCCTTCTTCCTAATTTGATGAGGAAAACAGTAGGATTTACCTTGTGCTTAGAGCAGTACTGCTTGTGTGGGTCAGGCTGTTTTGGTGGCCAGCCATAAAGAAGTGACGAGTGGAGTGCTGCAGGGTTCTGTTCTGGGCCTGGTCCTATTCAAAATCTTTATTAATGACTTAGATGAAAGGCTAGAAGGCATGATCATCAAGTTTGCAGACGACACCAAATTGGGAGGGATAGCCAATACTCCAGAGGACAGGAGCAGGATTCAAAACGATCTTGACAGATTAGAGAGATGGGCCAAAACTAACAAAATGAAGTTCAACAGTGACAAATTCAAGATACTCCACTTTGGCAGGAAAAACGAAATACAAAGATACAGAATGGGGGACAATGCCTGGCACGAGAGCAGTACGTGTGAAAAAGATATTGGAGTCCTCGTGGACAACAAAGCCATGATATTCCCTGTAGTAACCTACGGATGTGAGAGCTGGACCTTAGGGAAGGCTGAGCGAAGGAAGATAGATGCTTTTGAACTGTGGTGTTGGAGGAAAGTTCTGAGAGTGCCTTGGACTGCGAGAAGATCCAACCAGTCCATCCTCCAGGAAATAAAGCCCGACTGCTCATTGGAGGGAAGGATACTAGAGACAAAGTGAAGTACTTTGGCCACATCATGAGGAGACAGCAAAGCCTAGAGAAGACAATTTCGCTGGGGAAAGTGGAAGGTAAAAGGAAGAGGGGCCGACCAAGGGCAAGATGGATGGATGGCATCCTTGAAGTGACTGGCTTAATCTTGAAGGAGCTGGGGGTGACGGCCGACAGGGAGCTCTGGCGTGGGCTGGTCCATGAGGTCACGAAGAGTCAGAGACGACTGAACGAATGAATAACAACAACAAGCTTTTTTGTATGGTTCCCCAATCAATAAAGACTGTGGATTTATTCTTATTTTTAAAAACCTGCTGCTGTTGTTTTTATTCATTTTTGCTTTTATTATGTCAGATAAAAATTGAATGTTGTAAAATTAAAAAGAAACCCATAAGCTCCTCTTGGTTCTTGCTTCTGGAAACATAAGTGGTATAGGTACATAGCAATGTTTGGCTACATTAAAAAGAAGCTTAGTTATATCTCTTATCCTTGATACATTTCTGTGTTAAATTTATCACATTAGTAGAGCTCATTTCTATAAATATGCTTAGGATCATACTTTTAACAGCCATGAAATCTACCTAAAATTTATTTTGTCTGTGTCATAATATTATTTACATCAAACCATGGGGAGTAATGTGTTGAAAGTCTTAACAATACTAGAAATAAGAAACAAACATGGGCAGATCAAATGAATGTTCAACAAGATTTACTGTTTCAATGTTATAATGAATTCAACATCAAAGCATAAAAACAGCTGCAGAATATATTTATTTAGGGAGTTTTATTACAGACATCTATTTAAGAAGAATGGGGAGGGAGAGTCACATTGATTCATGGGGGTTGTTTGAAATGTGCATTTGACATACATTTTAATTATGTCTTTCACTGGTACAAATATTTTACATTCTGCAATCATAGAAAGATGCATTGCTCACTGTCACTGAAACTGCCCCCCACCCCAAACCCAGTCCAAATATGATTCTATTCATTTGTGACTTGGTTTCTATTTTGGTGTAATCTGATGAAAAACAAAATTATTGGAAGAGAACTATTATGAGATTCTGGGTTTTGGTTAGAGACAAAAATATCTCAGGCATTCTAGGCATAAAGTGAAAGACATAATTTTTATTCTATTAACCAGAAAAGTGTAGATGGTGTATATTAATTTTGGATAAGAATGTGCCTTTCACATTTTGAGACTTTTGTGGATAAATGATTAAGGCTGAAACTGCTACTTAGCTGCTAGTAAAGGTAAAGGTAAAGGTAGTCCCCTGACATTAAGTCCAGTCATGTCTGACTCTGGGGTGTGGTGCTCATCTCCATTTCTAAGCCGAAGAGCCAGTGTTGTCCATAGACACCTCCAAGGTCATGTGGCCGGCATGACTGCATGGAGTGCCGTTACCTTCCCGCCGGAGTGGTACCTATTGATCTACTCACATTTGCATGTTTTCAAACTGCTAGGTTGGCAGAAGCTAGGGCTGACAGCGGAAGCTCTCGCCGCTCCCTGGAATCGAACCTGCGACCTTTCGATCAACAAGCTCAGCAGCTCAGTGCTTTAACCCACTGTGCCACCGGGGCTCCATAGCTGCTAGTATAAGGAGTTATTTCTCCCTTCCCCTTTGTAATCCCATGTGACATCAATAGTTCCTTCCCCTTTGGAGAATGTTTCAGAAAGGGCTTCAGATAGAGAATTGCTGTCTGCTTCTCAATTCTCCAGTGAAGGAGAGATAACTAGACCAACCCTGAAGACTAGGTCAATCTGGGGCGCTTTCACACTACCCAATTATAGCAATGTGGAATCCTGTGGTTTGTAGTTTGATGAGGCACTAGAACTCCCTTGCCTAAGAATTTAAAATACTACTGCTAAATTGAAAATCCCAGGATTCAATAGGACAGAACAATGATACTAAGTGGAATCATAAAAGTGTAGAGCAGTGTTTCTCAATCTTCCTAATGCCGTGGCCCTTAATACAGTTCCTTATGTTGTGGTGACCCCCAATCATAACATTATTTTTGTTGCTACTATAATTTTGCTACTGGTCTGAATTGTAATGTAAACATCTGATATGCAGGATGTGTTTTCATTCACTGGACCAATTTGGCACAAATACTTGATATAATAATAATAATAATAACAATAACACTTTATTTGTACCCCGCTACCATCTCCCCAAGGGACTCGGTGCGACTTACATGAGGCCAAGCTCAAATACAACAATACAAGCAATAATAACAAGAATACAAGCAATTAAAATAAACATGGACAATACAATAATGCAACATTAACAATAAGACCAAAATTTGATATGACCAAATTTGAATACTGGTGTGGTTGGGGGGGGGGGGGTATTGATTTGGTCATTTGGGAGTTGTAGTTACTGGGATTGATAGTTCATCTACAATTAAAGAGCATTTGGAACTCCACCAAGGATGGAATTGAACCAATCTTGGCTACACAGAACTCCCATGACCAACAGAAAATACTGGAAGGGTTTCGTGGGCACCGACTTTGAGTTTTGGAGTTGTAGTTTATCTATACCCAGAGAGTACTGTGGACTCAAACAATAATGACCAAACTTGGCATGAATACTCAATATACCCAAATGTGAATACTGGTGAAGTTTGAGGAAAATAGACCTTGACATTTTGGAGTTGCAGTTGTTGGGATTTATAGTTCACCTACAATCAAAGAGCATTCTGAACCCCACCAGTGATAGAATTAGGCCAAATTTCCCACATAGAACCCCCATGATCAACAGAAAAGACTGTGTTTTCTGATGGCTGTTGGCGGCCCCTCTGACACCCCCTCACGACTCCCCCAGGGGTCCCGACCCCCAGGTTGAGAAACACTGGTGTAGAGTGAAAAGGCCCATAGAGGAAGAACACTGGATCTTGGTCAAAAGACTACTGGATCTTTGATAAACTATTATGGATTTTTTTGCTTTTAAAAGCAAAGGCAGGCTGGGATATAAAGTGGAAGTTGCTTTATTCACCATTCTTCAGATTGAAGTGACACTCGCCAAGTTCTTTTTCTTCCAGAGATTACAGAATCTTATGAAAAGGGAAGCCTACACTATACAGGGAGGAACTATATGTGTGATGATGGCTCTTACTTTCAGTTTGTTGCTCTCCAGATGAAGAGTGTGATAACAAGGGATGTGGAATAGCATCCTCCATCTACTAACATGTTTATGTTACCTTTCTTGAATATCTGAATGGGGCTTAGGTTTGTTAGTACTCTTTTCAGCAGACTGACATCAAACCAAGCGTAATCTTTAAAAAAAAACCCAAATCCTGGGATCCACATTTGAGCCCAGGAGTAAAGGAAGAGCCCCTCCGCCTAATACAAGTGCTACTGAAACAATCCTGTGAGCAATATGCACAAACTGAAATAAACAATGACAGATGTGACTGGATAAGAAGAGGTAGGAAGGAGTACAAGGAGATTTATGTTTCAGTACTTTTAAGGGAAAAAGAAATACAGAGGAGAGAATGAATAAACTGCAAATAGATTCTGGCAACTTTCAAAACTTACCTTCCTAGTAAAAGAGTAATAGCACAAGAGCACAAGAATACCTGGTTCCCATAGACTTGGCAACTGAAGAGAGCTTCAGGGATTTGGGGCCACATTGGAATCTAGAGATATCAAAGATTTCACTCAGCCATGGGGTTTTTCTGGTACTATTTAGCAACATTTAGATGGCACTGGGCTTCTTTTACTGATCCAAATCTTTCACAAAAAAAAAAAATCAGACTGATCCAGATATGATCTGGACCAATGCAGTAAGATTGAGCTGAAATACAGATTGGTCTAGTTGTCCCAATTCAGTTAGAGATTGGCCTCAGTGGGCTATCATGCCATTGGCAGCAACAAATCTATATTTATTTATTTATTTATTTGCATTATTTCTACCCAGCTCATATCAGCCCGAAGGCAACTCAGAGCTAATAGATAATATTATCCTAAATGAAACTGCTGTCATATATTACAGATGACATTATTAATCTATAAAGGCATTGCATTATAGAGAAGAAAAAACTGCACTAAAATAATTGACTATGGAAAGAAAAAAATTCATCACGTATCTTGATTTGGATGATGATGGTGGTGGTGGTGATGAGGATAATTATAGTAATAAAAATAATCCTTGTGTTTTTGTTTGTTTGTTTGTTTTGGTAGAAAACACACAAAACATATTCAGGAGCAGCTGAAAGAGTCACAGAATGGGAAAACGTACAGCCTTAATGCTTCCAGCATGATGGCAAAATCAGATCCCAGGACCCAAAGCCGAGTACAGCTGCAAAATGTAAGTAAACTTGTCAAGCTCAGCCTTTAATTAGTCTGGATAAATGTTTGATGGTGATGTTTTCAGTTTTATATCTTCTCCTTCAGTCCCCAGATGTGCCACTAATTTGCACCTGTGGCACTATGGGACTATCCAAAGAAAGAAATAACTATTCTAACAAAATGTGTTAAAGCAGGGCAAAGTAGTCCTTTCTTCTGCCTTGGCATGGTTTGGTATAATAAATGCTGTCTAATAAATGCTAACTACTGGTCTAAAATTTCTAGAGGAATATCTCAGAGCACTATGGAATAAATCAGCTCAACGCCTTTGGGAAGTGGTTCATTATCTAATGAAAAATAGCTGTTAAAAGTTATCTCTGCAGAAGGTTTCCAAGTGTATGGCAGCTGGGCAAGAACCAATATAAGCATGTGACTAAGAGGGGCATATCTTCATTCAGAACTCACAACAGAATCCACTCAGTAGGCAACCTCAGGTGAGTTCTTTAGGTCCAACTCCTCATCTGTATTATTGGAATCACGGGAGCCATCAGTTTTAGTGGCATTATCCTTCTCCAGTTCCTTTTACCACAGAAAATAATATGTGCCAGTGAACACAGTTTGACATGGTGATCATAGGAATCAAACAAAAGATGATATTAGTCTGCAGGAACCTAGTCTCACACTATCCCCCCCCCCCCAGTGGCTCCCTAAAAGCAGTGTTTCAGAAGCACTTAATATACATTACTCCTTACATCCAAAAGTAATGAGTTGTTGCTAATCAGTACTAGGCTTGGGTGGTTTCGTTCGTTAATTTCGTAATTCGTTATTAATTCGTATTTAAATTAGCTTACGATCCAATATTGAGCCATGCAGGAGTACTGTGAGGAGTAATTAAAAATTGAAACAATTTTTCCAATTTATTTCGTATTGTTTCGTAATTGTTTTGTAATTGGTTCAAAATTGTTTCGAAATTGTTTCGTAATTGTTTCGTAATTATTTCCGTATGTCTGGTGCAAGTTTTATAGTTTTTTTATCAGTGATAAAAATAAATTATCACACCAACAGTCAACAACAGAGGGAGAGGAAAGCTTCAGAAGTTCCCCCTGTCCCATTTGGAGGGTTTTTTAGCATATTGCGCAATCGCGTCCGCCATTAATGAATCGATTCGTAATTTTATGAAATTTAGTATATTTTGAACTTTTTAAAAGGAAAATTTCGGAATTCTTTTAAAAAAACGAAACACAAGGGCCCCCTAAAAACGAAACGAGTTTAGAACCAAATTTTTCCATGGTTACCCAAGCCTAATCAGTACATAAGAGAGAGTGGGGAGGGGGGGGAGATGAGAGGTGCTTCCTTGTTATCCCAAAAGTGACTGAATGGGGGTAATAAGCACAATCTATTCTTAGACCATATCTTCTTCTGAAGCCCGGCAGCGGGAGCCAATTGGCACATGAGGGGGCATCGCTGCCTCCTCCTCCTCATTGACAGCAAAGGCAGGCCTGGAGTGGAAGAGCCCCTCGGTCAGGAGTGGCCTGCGTGGAAGAGCCCTGAAGTTTCCCTGGTGCCAGTGCTGTTTTTTCCTACTGCACATGTGTATCTGCCATTAACGAAGCTATTTCGGAAGTTTCGGAAAGTTTTGGAAAAAAATTATTTTTAAAGGAAGTGACTTTAGAATCGAACCACCAGCGCCCCCTACAGCCAAAATGAGTTTTGAACCATTTTTTTTATCAAACAAGCCTAGTATTTACCTTCTTCCTGAAGTTCTTACTGATATTCTTTCCTATATTTCTTCTAAACTTGTATGCTCTTAAAATTATTAGTGTTTGTTCTTACTCTCTGAACTGAAGTTCTGGAAAAAGGTTATTGATGAAAATTAAAACAAGCAAACCTCAATACCACAGCACAAGTGGTATCTTGAGAAAGAGAGAGAGAGATCACTCCACATACTTTGATCTTCATTTTGCTACTGCTCTTGCTATGCCTCTTAGAAATGCAATGATTCTTCTGTGGATACATGCACAGATAGCAGAAATCAAGGGCAATAAACAGGAATCCTCTCCATCTCACAGTTTGCTATGCTTCATTTTACTGAAGCTGATAGTACATTTCTCTTTCTCTTCCCTTCACAGAGAGACAAGATTAATGAGATGTATTCATTATGCATTGCAATTTACTATCTCATAATTGAAGGTTGCTTACTACTTGAAGGTTACTTTGCATAATAGCATAAGCTGCAAATTTTGGCAGGTATTGCTTGATAAGAACAGCTTTTACCTTTCCTTCAAACCAAAACCATGCAGGAAAAATTAGCCTGCTTTAAATAAGTTGATATGTCATCAGAGACAGCCAAGCTGGTTTGATTCATTCCATCATTGTAATATTCTGCTCCGTTTACCACTTCTCATTACTGCTACTACTACTAGGCACTATGTTCCTCTTTAAGAATGATCTAAATATGAAGTGTAGGGCCTGATCATTTGCTGGATGAAATTTTTGACTGCTGTAGCCATTTTGACTTTCCCTGGAAATTATTTGTATGAAAAGTTATGTGCTAAAAGATTCCAAATCCTTTATACAAGTCATGGGGAAATAATTTCCTAAATGCTTGAAACCTGTCTTATCCCCAGAACAAAAAGATGCTATTCTTGTGGCAAGATCACAATCATGGATAAGAGACTAGCTGCCAAACCTTGGTGGGACAGCACTAGAAGAGCCTGCTGGATGGGCAATTATGAGTGGAAGAGCCCTGGATGGGAGCAGGGAGAGTTGAAGAGCTTCCACCTTGTAATACAGCTGAACCCCAATCTGGCAAAAAATATCAAATACCTGCCTGAAATTGACCAATTTACAGCAATGTGTGGATAGTGAGGTCTGGACCGTGGATATCAAGGTCCAGTACAGAGATAATGAGGTCCGACATGCATACACCGAGATCTGTGCCTGATGACTCTGTGCCTGGTGAGACCCAAAGCTAAAAATGAGCGTTCCCCAAAGAAGTCTCACCAGTTGTAGCAGTTGAAGCAGAAGCCACCAAGGCTGATTGGCAGAGCCGGCTCTGATGTCACAAGCAGCTGGGAGGATTCCCTCTATGTGGAGGAGCTGCGGCACCCAGCAGCCAGTAAGAGAGCTTTCCCCACTTCGGATGCAGATTCCAGCTTTTCAATGGCAGGCAGGGGGTTGGATGGTCAGGAAAAAACAAAGAAGAATATAGATTTATGGATGGATTACAGTGTCTCAACCTCGAGACACATAAAGTGGGGTCTTCTAAACTCCAGGAAGAGTGTCAGGTGATTATGAGTCTTCTATGTCCATTATGCGACATAAAAGGTTAGCCCAATTCAGGGTGTGGTCATCCTTTGTGCAGTCTACCCCGGAATCAATAGAGATGGATTGATTCCAAAGATGCTTGAGTCCTTTGTTGAGGTGAAGGCCAGGAAGGCACAAAGGAAATTCCATGTCAAGGAGTGCCGGTGAAAGGTCACCAAGATTGTGGTGGTGGCTTCATGGCTCCAAAGATATTTTATAAAATGATAAACAAAATATTACAACACACACACATAAGGGATCCCAGTATCCACAGATACTGGGGGCATCTGGTTTTGGATGCCTAGGATCATGTGGCCAGCATGACTGCATTAAGCGCTGTTACCTTCCTGCCGGAGAAGTACCTATTGAATAACTCACATTTGCATGTTTTCGAACTACTAGGTTGGAAGAAGCTGGGGCTAACAGTGGGAGTTCACACCGCTTCCCAGATTTGAACCTGCAACCTTTCAGTCAGCAAGTTCAATGGCTCAGCAATTTAGCCCACTGCACCACCGGGGCTCCTATCATATCATATCATATCATATTATATCATAATAGTTTCATTACATTTCCATAAGCTTTAACCAAAATTCATAACCTTCTTATCACAAATACAAATGTATGAAAGTGAATGTGTATGAAATAAAATATGATGAATTTGTCCATTAAAGCTCACTATGTTGGGTGTATTTCTCTTAAAAGGTTTTAGTTTCATCTCTTTTCCTCAAATGCAGCAATCATAGTTATCCCTTCAGACCACATTATGGATCTCAATGGGAAACCCCATGTACGTATATTTCAGACTGCCTTTTCTTGAGGGCACAGTATGAAGGGTTACAATCTCTGATCTGTTTGAGTGCCTCAGAGAGCAAATCTTGTTAAACTAGAGCCTTTTGCCATATTCCTACAGTTTCATACACTGAGATGGAGCCCCCGGTGGTGCAGTGGGTTAAACCCTGTGCCGGCAGGACTGAAGACCGATAGGTCACAGGTTCGAATCCGGGGAGCGGCGGATGAGCTCCCTCTATCAGCTCCAGCTCCTCATGCGGGGACATGAGAGAAGCCTCCCACAAGGATGATAAAAAAACATCAAAATCATCTGGGCGTCCCCTGGGCAACGTCCTTGCAGACGGCCAATTCTCTCACACCAGAAGCGACTTCTGACACGACAAAAAAAAAAAACCACTGAGATGTAAATATTACTAAATTATTTTGGGATATTTGGCAAACCTATTTTAGCATTCTGAATACAACAGCTTTTGAAGTACCCAAAACCTCATTCCTCTATGTATTAGGCCTGTGCGGTTTCGTTCGTTAATTCGTTAATTCGTTATTAATTCGTTTTTTTGGGCATTTCCGAAG